GCTAAGTTGGTTTTACCTTTTTGTTCTGCTTTGCAGCTTCTCCCACATCACTGCCATTCATTTACAAACTGGTCCAGCTCTTCCGACAGGCTTGGGCAGCTGTGCTTCCTCCAATCCATAGGCCTCCAATTCGAGACTAAGTGTCTTCCTCCACTAAAAGTGTCACCTTGGCTTGGGCATGTTACCAGGCTCTTCAGGGGCTCTTCAAATCTGAGATGTGGACTCCTGGAATTTCTTCAGACAGGGAATGGTGGTATATGAATTTCGAAGCCACAGCAAGTGTTCCTGACATTTTGCTTGGTCCTGTCCAACACTAGGGTACAGCCACTCTGTCCATACCTACAACTGAATAAGAATTCTCCTTTTCAAACACTTTGCTTTGGATGTGTGTCTCTTGAGTGAGGGTTGTGTAGCCAGTTATGAACTCTGGAAGAAGTTCTTATCCTTGCAAACGCTGAGCAAGTGTTCTCTGAACAAGTGCAATTCCTGGAGGACCAGTGATTAGGGGAATATTCTGTTTTCCCTGAAGACATCTGGAAAGCCCAGTTCCTGCAGCATGGGATTTAGGACAAGCACATTAAAGAAAAACACTGGAGAAATTAAAGCCTATTGCATTTTGAAAGCCATGTTTTTTCTCTTGTGACTGATGCCTCTTTGAACAGGCACACTGGATTTTAGTCATATTTAAGCCAGAAAGATGAGGAGTTGGGCCAAAAAGACTGTTGTGTTGTATCTACTCTTCTTAAATGCAAATTACAGCACTCAGTGCTTGTCTGATGCATAGCCATTCCTAGAAGCACTTGGTGGTGGTGGTAAGGAAATAAGTTTATTTTTTTTAATTCTATTCTATGTTATTGTATAATTGAACAGCTGAAGTTGTGGCTTTGTTTTGCTCTTTCCCTACCTCTTGCTTTGTTTATGTAGATGTCAAAAAGTCTCTCTGTATATCTAGAATTGCTCCCCAAGCCTCAGTATCCGAAGTTCTGGGTTAGATGGGAGTCATTTAGCAATGCTCTGTCATTCAGAACAAAAATTTATTTTTTATAGAAAGAGATACTTCTCTGACATCACACGACCTTCCCAAGATCATTGGTAGGAAAATTGTGCACCTGCAGGTCTGTCAGCAGACAGCTTCATTTCTGACCACTTGGGGCAGAAATTGGAGGTTTGGGGTGGAACATTAATTTCTCCTCCATCCATTCATCCATCTATCATCAGCTGACAAAAGGTAAATTCCAAGCAGGGAGCACTGATCTAAAAAAATACTGCTTTTAAACTGTTGTGTGCTGGAGGGGACAAGTTAAAGGCGAGAAACCTGGGACAAATTTACCTCTGTCATCCCAGCACCTGTGCCAAAATGGTGCAAACTCACGGATATCAGCCCAAACTACAAAATGTTGTCAGAGCAGCCTTTTTGGTGGGATCTGTTGCTTTGCTCCCTACTGGGGCACTTAGCAAACAGTCTCATCTTCACTACTAAAAACAGTTGTCCGTTTCATCTTAAATTATCCCAAAAAGAGCTACACCCAAGCATTATTGTCAGACAAACTCAGGTTATTTGTGAGTGTAATAATGACCTTCCCTAGTTGTCTCAAGAGATTTTAAAACCCAAACCAATCCCATATGCATGCCTCCCCAAAGTTTTTGTCTGCCAGGACTTTACACCAGGTTAAGTAGCACATATTTCCATATAAAAAAGTAATTTCTGATATACTCTGCACACACAGGGAAGAGCAGCCTTTGATACTGCTTTGGTATTGATATTTCAGTTTATTACTGAAACCAACACTTGATGTGAAATCAGATAGATTGAAACACAGAAGCTCTGTCTGGAGATGAGCTCTTCCAAGAAATGACCAGGATCAGTCCTCTGCCCCCCTGCTTTGCAAGGCCTCTGGTTAAATCCTTTGTAAGCCAGTTAATGAAATGGCAAACTTCACTCTTGAAGTCAGGCCAAATTCTCATCAAAGTGACTGTTAGGTAATGAACAATTTTAGCTGTAATCTTCTGGCATCATTTTTAGTTGGATGGCAGAGATGCTGTTTTGGAGGTTGGTTTGGACCAATGGTTTCAGCAGGCCATACATTTTAGGATGCTGTTAAGTGTCCTTTACTAGGACTTTTAACATTCAACTTTAAGTGTAGGTTGGTAACCTTGACTTTATTGGAGTACTACTGATTTAGAATTTATATTGTTTTTAATTCATCATGAGAAAGCAAGAAGGCAGAAATAAGCTATCAGGGTTTTTTTGCAATTAATACTGAAACTGCAGTATCTAATTTTTATAATAAAGTGACTACTGATTTACCTCTGTAGAGTTGCTTTTTTGTGCTGTGATTTGAGTATATGAAAAAAATAAGTATTTGTTGTATTGATACACTAAAAAGTATATCATAGTTTTCAAGAATTGTTTCACATTGTTTCATAGTTTCAGCCTATTTGAATTAAGTCGAGAATGTCTTCAGTGTGAATCTGATGAGATTTAATCCACTGATGATGTTGGTAAAGTGTAAGTCTGCATTTTGGCATGGGCAAGACCAATACTACCAAGAATAAAGTATCTGGTATTCATCATTATTAGATAAATGTATCTTTATATTATTTACAACTACATTATATATTATATATAATACTATATATTATTTATAACTACAGTTCTGACCTTAATGTATTAGGGGAGAAAATTATACTAATAAAAAGTAAAAATACATAGCACAGTTCTCTGTTTCAGGGATAATGCCTGAAAACCAGTATTTTTATCAATGTAGGTACTTCATTACTAGGTTTGGGAAGTTCAGAAATTCTGAAATGAGATGCTGCTGGTTCTCCCAGCAGGTGGCAACAGACTAACAGAAAACAATTATACAGGGAACACAAGGAAAGTGTTTAAATCTTCATTCACTTACTGAGGAAGGTATTAAAATGTGTGGGAAATGCAAAGACTTACACGTCCCAAATGAAAAGCAAAAGAGGATTTTGTGTGATCACCTAAGAGCTTACTAAGAGTTCACTGTTTTGTAAAATGGCATAATAATGTTCTAAAATAATCCATAATTCTGACACTATTGGTGAGTCATTTAGGTACCAGGCTTTAGGGAGGGAGTGAGGTACATCCAGTAGAGGATAAAAAGCATTTAACTGTCCTTCATTTGTCTGTTGATGTATTTCAAACTCCAGCATATTGAGTTGTGGGAAGAAGGAGGAATCATGTCACATTCAGGGTGATGATGTTTGTCTGCCCAAGGCAGTGATGGAGCCCTGTAGTCCTGGTTGTAGCTGAGTACCTGCCTGCCCATGGGAAGTGTGAATCCACTCCTTGGTTTGCTTTGCTTGTGTGCACAACTCTTGCTTTGTGTGTTAAACTATACCTCAATGCACAGGTTCCCTCTGACTCTTCTGATTTAGTGGTCAGTTGCCAGCTGGGGTTAAACCAGTACAACACTACTTCTGAGTTCTAGATTATTCAAAAATGCCATTTTCAGAGATGTGTCTATTTTTAATTAGAGAAAAAGGCTTTAGGTTTCATATGGCAGCTCACCATCTGCCCACAGAGGTTGAATGCCAGCATCCATCAAGATGACTTACTTTCCAAGAATCCAGGTCCAGGTCATATGTGCCTCATGTCTCTATGGTCTCGCACTGGCAGAGAAAATGCCACAAAGGACAGTTGCAAATAATTTAGTAATTCACAGACCTCTTTTAGATTTTGTTGCTGCTAGAGCTGATACATTGACTCAAAGTGTGCCTAATAGGTTTTGGGTGGTGGGCTGCTCAAAGTAGTTGCTTTGAGACCCTTTTCTGATTCTCTGAAGCTGTGAGCATTAACATTTCAGATTGTCCAGAGCACTAGAGCTTGTCTGGAATGTTACTACTTCCACTAGAAGAAAAACACTAGAGCAACCTATTCTTTATTCTCAAAGCAATGAGCTAATGGTTTTCTGAAGAACTCTGAAATTCAGCTTAAGCAAAGCTGCAGATGAAAATGATAACGGACTTTCTTTGTTTAAAAACTATTATGGCTCCAGAAATTATGGCTCTGTAGCTTTTTCCAGCCAAAATCAGAGTAATTATTTGCAGGTTTATGTAAAGAACAGCAAAATGAAGACTATACCAAAGTGAGTTTATAAAAACCAGTATGAACTAGTTCTCACTGTTAAAATGTAGGTGTTAAAGAAGGTACTTCTGTGTTACCAGCAGTGGCAGAACAATTTATTAGTATCATCATGACAGAGTAGATTAACCTACATTTTAGGAATTGTTTACTTAATGTTTGCTGATTAAACATCATCATAAACAGTACATTTATAAAGTCTGGGGATACATGACACATTCAAGCAATTAAGTGTGTCTTCTTCTTTGTTACCCAGGGGTTGCAAACAGGAGGATTTCTCTGCTGAGAGAAGCTGCTGCTTTCCAGTGGTGAGCTAGGGCAGAAAGAGCAAAGTGGTGGAGGCAACTGCACTAATTTGGTGTCAGAATGTTCCAGATAATAAACACTGTAATAAAGATCAAATTTCTTTCTGTTTGGGCAGAGAAGTGAGAGTCTGTACTGCAAGCTGTCCCATACTCCTGACAGCCTGGATGACTGCACATGGAAAGAGAAGTAATAGAAGTAAATTGAAATGTTAATAGAGAAGCCAGGAGATTATTTAAAAGTGCTAGTAGAGCACACTTAAGTATGGTAATTATGTTTACTTTCCAGATCTCTATTTTTGTTTTTGTTCTATCCTTCTCTTTTCCATTCATTTGCTCTCTTATGCCTTCTGTACTGGAATTTAGGTGTGATTTTCATCTACAGAAGTACGTGTTGGCAGAACAGGGAGCTGGGATGGCGTGTGCATTGCAGGTGATGTAAAACCCCCAAGGTGTGAGAAAGCACGGTGTAAACACGAGTTACATGGCCACGCTCCAAATCAATAAGCGTGCCAACCCTGGCTGCACTGAGCTGGAAGCTGGGGTGTTTGTGAGCCCGGGCTGTGTGGCTGGGTTTGCACAGGAGGGGTGCTGGAGGCAGCAGGGTGACCTCGTGTCGCGGCGCTGTGACGCTGAAGCGCAGCAGCAGGTGCCAGGCCCAGGGTGCCTCCTGCCCTGCAGCCCAGAGCCAGGCTCCAGCACAGACCTGCCACCAGCGCTCCCAAAGGGAGGGAAACACCTCTGGAGACACCATGGTAAGGGGGATGGGGGCACACGGGGACTGGGAGGGCTGTGGGTGAGGGGAGGCAGTGGGGTCTGCTGTCCTTATCAGCAGGTTTTGCCACCGAACCCTGATCTCACACACCACTCACCATGTAAGAGAATGGGAAAGGAGTGCAGAAAACCTCACTGAAGCATTACCACTACATAACTATAATCTCACTAGTAATAGTGAGATTATATTATTTTATAATCCCACTATATTGGGATTATAAAACAGATATGGAGTCTTAGCTGTTTGGTACTTTCTGTTGTGACCATGTTTTCTCAACACCAATTCATTTTCATATGAGACAATTTTTTTTAGAAATAAACCAAAAAAACTTATTTACCTTTGTGTCTGTTTCAAATTAATTTAGCCCCAATGGCTATACTGTCCATAGCTATAGAGGGTATGCATGTGTGTTTCTGGAGTCCATGAATCCTTTTATATATGTATGTGTTTGAGTAAGTGAAAAAAAATGCCCTTTGTTTTTAAGTGTTGGGTGTTTGTTATAAATTTGTATAAATCTTTCAAAACCTCTTAGAATGTGAAAAAATCCATTTCACCTTGTACCCCAGTATATTTCTAGCACTGAGTCTAATTTTGGTGCAGAGGTAGAGCTATGATACTTTCTGCCAGCTTATCTCACAGGCAAAATACTTCCACGGGCTTCCCAGACCTAAGGAAGTGACAATGTTTGTGGAACAGCTGGAAGACTAAAGTCTGCCTTTTGCAGTAAATCCTGGAGCCAGGTATTAATTTGTTTTTTTAAGAGTCAAAGCTGTCCCAAAGGTTTAGTTTCAAAAAGGATCTGGTCCTTTCTATTGTTTCTTTATTAGACCTGTCCTGGGTCTACAGACATTAGTGGTGGGATGTGAAATATGAGTTTGGAACAGGCTCCAAAATAAAATATCACATAAAGATCAGTTTACTCTGACTGTGACGCTGCAGAAGGCCCACCCTCTTCCCTTGTGAAAGTCTGGCATCTATTTTAATGCTGTTCACTATGCAAAGTCAGAAACCTCTTTTTCACTGTCTTCTCTCTTTGGCAGAGTATTTCCAAATTCCAGAGTATTTCCTGCTGGGGAAGAAGATGAAATGGCTCAAAATACAGAGTTGAGATATAGTTTCAAACTAGTGCAGCTGAAAACTCAGTCTGAAATGTCTTCAACTACAGTCCTATATGAAGCTTTACTATATTAACTTCCTAAGGCAGCATTTACTTGTTCTATCTGTGAAAAAACAGACCAATTCCTCTACATACCTAAAGAAGTGAGCAAAGCAGCTCTTTAAGTTTAAAATACTGCTTGACTTGTAATTGTTGTTTTGCTTTAAAAGATATCCTTTTTAAAATCCAGTTGGCATCATTGCTGTGTTTGAAAAGAAAAGAAACACTTAATTTTCTTGCTGCCTGCCAGCCTCACAGATTTACACTGGGATTTGAAAGAAAAGGCAGGAGCCTGCCCTGTGGAAAGTCAGCATTAATTGAATTCCCTAAGCCCAAATATGCCTTAGGTGTCTCCTGAATAATCCTCCAAATTGCAACACACTGACTTAAGAAGCCCCACTGTCACTCAACTCAGAGACTTTTGCACAACTCAATTGACAAAAACAGGGTTGTGCAAGTACACTTGAGAGCTCATGCATTTGCAGAGTCAGCAAAAAATTTCAGCTTAGAAATGAGTACTAAATCAAAATGATTTATTTCCTTGAATGAAAGATTTAAATTGAGCTTTCATGTTCATTTGAACTCCTGGGGAATGACTAGCTGGAGCAGTGCTGAATTTTGAAATTCTAGTTGCTTCTGGGAAAATGTCTTCAGTTATGTTTCTTAAACACAAATACATGTGAAATTGTGAAGAAAACACTGCTCCAGAGATTTTGCTGGTGACACATTGTGACTGAAAATTTAGTTTTTGGGAAGGATACATTTAATTCTCAGATCACAGAATGATTTTGCTAGGTAAGCAGTTACAGAATTTAATTTAAAAAAAAAACAAACAAACTAAAACTGGTCAAATCTGATAGTGCCATTGGTTATCTCTAAATGCAATATTACAAAACAAGAATGAGTGAGAACCATCCTCTGCTCTTAAAGCCAGGCCTGCTTCATAGCTGGGCATCTCAATTCTCCTTCCCTCTCCAAAGCCTGGCAGTGGTCAGTGAGCTGGTCACTGGAAACCATTCTTGACAATTAGTTGTTTTCTGCATGGTGCCCAAGCATTGTCTGAAAAAATATTAACTGGCCTAGGCCAAAACTGTGCCAATTTTTTGAATTATCAATCAACACAGGAGATGACAGGCCAGAGTTCAGTACTATGACCTGTCTTTTTTTTATTCCCTAGGATAGACAGGGCCCTGGGGATCACAAAACCAGAGCTCAGGCAGCTTTAATTGCTCCAAAACAGAAACCAAATCTAAAAATATACACATACATGAAACCACTCTGTCCTCAAAAAAACTTTTCACTACACACTATGCACAGAGTTGCAATTGCTGGGACTAATCCAGAAGTATTTGCTTTATAATTTTGCTTGTGAATTTATGAAATCCAGCACCAGGGCCTTCATGCTCCTGTATTTTTAAGTGTACAGGATTTTGGAGCAATTGACACCTGCCTGCTTTAGCCTGGTGTTACAGAGTTTTCTCTTCCTGGCTGCTACAGAAACAATGCTGGAAATCATGCAAATACACTATACTGTAATGGCACTGCCTGACAAGCAATGGACCCATGATGTGAAATTAATGCCTGCTCAGGAGCTGGAAGGAACATTTGTTTTGACCAGGAAAATCTGGAATAATTTCCTTAGGTGAAAGCAACTCTTCCAAGTTTCCACGCTGGCGTGCTATCAGAGGGTAGAAGGATCAAAAGGCATCACCTGCCTTGGGTTACATAAGGGTGAAGGATGCCACATGGCTGTGTCAGGTTCCAGCCAGGAGTAAAAATAAACTAAACTGGGATGTGCTTCTCAGCAGAGCCAATCCAGGAAGAAAGGTGGGGTTTGTGTAATTGAAAATAATTTTTCCTGACTGTTTTAATATACTTCTGTAGTATAGCACACAGATCTCAATTTTTTAAAGAACTGTCCCAGTATCTGGCATGTGCATGTGCAATCTCATTGTGGTCATGGGACTGAACAACCACATGAACAGCTGACAGTGACAATTCACTGTCTTTTTTGGAAAAGCAATACACTGGGAAAAGGTAAACACCAGGAATAAGGAGGGTTAGGGTACACTGATTTTTCTGACCCTGCCTCTCCTCTCTCCCTTCAGCGCGAGTGCATCTCTGTTCATGTTGGCCAGGCTGGAGTGCAGATAGGAAATGCGTGCTGGGAACTCTTCTGTCTGGAGCATGGCATTCAGCCTGATGGCACCTTCAAGGACCTGCAGGACAAACTCGGCTCTGATGACTCTTTTACCACATTTTTCAATGAAACAGCCACTGGGAAGCACGTGCCACGGGCTGTAATGGTGGACTTGGAACCAACTGTGGTAGGTCAGTATAGAAACAAACCTGCGAAATGGAGATGAGACTGCTTTTCCCCATATCAGCGTGCTGTGTCACCAGTCTTCACTGGCACAAAGTGGCCCTTTGCACCTCAGGCTACCACTAGGTAGCATTAAATTAATTTTCTTGTGACATAGGATGCCACATTCTATCACAGGTGTTGCAAACATAAGAACAAGAGGACCCCCAGCAATTTAATAGCTGGTACAAAGAGTGCATACAACTTCTCTTTGCATCAATAATTAACTTTTAGGTTTGTTTATCATTACATTTTTGCCATTCAGATTCTGCTTCAGTTTGGATTCAAAGCGGGACCCTGACCGCTTCCCTCCAAGAATAGAAGAATGTCTAAAAATTGGGACACCTGAATTTCTTCACACTTTTTTTTTCTGGGGACTTGTGGATGCAGGCTGTACTTGTCACCAACAAGCTCATGAGAAGATAAGTGGCTGGATTGAAGATGCACAATAAATCAAACAAATGCAACAATGAAAAAATGCTCCAGAGACATTTCCCTTCTCAATCAGCATCTGTCTTTTGGCATCATGAGCTCCTGTGACTGAGAGCATGCACTGGTGCCAACAACAACCAGAATTTGTTGGCACTAGAGCACATTCTTACAATTTCTCTTTCTTCTTCAGATGAAGTACGGACTGGCACCTTCCGGGAACTTTTTCATCCAGAGCAGCTGATTACTGGAAAGGAAGATGCAGCCAATAACTATGCCCGTGGCCACTACACCATTGGCAAGGAAAGCATTGATATGGTGCTGGATCGTGTCCGTAAGCTGGTAAGACCCAGTAGTTCTGAAACAGCAGTTTGGACTCTGCAGATGAAAGAAGGGCAGAGCTAACAGCTTGTTAATTGCAAACTATACTGACGGTTCAGAAAAGAGATCGCAAGTCACACAGATGGTATCTTGGACGTGGTATAGAAGAGAGAAGCCCAGTAGCTCACTTCCCAGCTGCATGCCTCCAGGCATTTTTATAAAGTAGTTACAAATATATAATTTTTCATTATTAGCACAGCCCTACAGCCCCAGTTCTGATACTGAAGGGTGGGCTATGCAGTTGTACATTGCTGGTTTCAGCTAGAATAACAGAGCAGTGTGGAGTTCAGAGAGAGAGAGGCCCCGACAGATCCCTCTGTCAAAAGCTGAGACATCCAGGAAAGCAAAGGTTGGAACTATCACCAACCTTTTCCCAGGAAAACTTGACATGAAATCTATGCTGTATACTGCCTAGGACTGCTCACTCCTTCAGCTCACAGAGCAAAGTCTTTCCCACCTTTTCCAGCTGCCGCTGTTTCACTTTCTCTTTTGCCTTCTAGACTGATGCCTGTTCTGGGCTGCAAGGATTCCTGATCTTCCACAGCTTTGGTGGCGGTACCGGCTCTGGATTTACCTCCTTGCTGATGGAACGCCTCTCTGTGGATTACGGAAAGAAGTCCAAACTGGAGTTTGCCATCTACCCAGCCCCTCAGGTCTCCACTGCTGTGGTGGAACCCTACAATTCCATCCTGACCACGCACACCACACTGGAGCATTCCGACTGCGCCTTCATGGTGGATAACGAGGCCATCTACGACATCTGCCGCCGGAACCTGGACATTGAGCGGCCCACCTACACCAACCTGAACCGCCTGATCAGCCAGATCGTGTCCTCCATCACCGCCTCTCTGCGCTTCGACGGTGCCCTCAACGTGGACCTGACGGAGTTCCAGACCAACCTGGTGCCCTACCCACGCATCCACTTCCCCTTGGTGACCTACGCCCCCATCATCTCCTGCGACAGAGCGCACCACGAGCAGCTCTCGGTGGCCGAGATCACCAACGCCTGCTTCGAGCCCAACAACCAGATGGTGAAGTGTGACCCAAGGCACGGCAAGTACATGGCCTGCTGCATGCTCTACCGTGGTGACGTCGTCCCCAAGGACGTCAACGTGGCCATTGCTGCCATCAAGACCAAGAGAACCATCCAGTTTGTCGACTGGTGTCCGACAGGCTTCAAGGTGAGTAGGGCTGCCACAAGCTTCTCTTTAGTGTTGAAAGGGGAGGTTCAGTCTAGTAGAAAACTTGTATTTTTAAAGTTTTCTGTCTCATCTCTTTCTCCTATTTCCCCCGGAACACAGGGGAATATAGATATTTCCCAGTGAACTTAAGAAGGATGCATTTATATAAAATGTGACTTTTCTCCTTTGGACATCCCATTGACACAGGCTCTTACATATTTAAATAAGTGAAAATTCAAAGTGTGTATGGGTTAAAATTGAAAGAAATTTTAATTTCAGATCTGATCTTTGGAACAGCCAATGAGCATTGCCTCTGAGGCACAATCTAAAACTGACGAAATATCAAAGCTGATAAAATTAATAAAGGAAGTGCTGATATTGGGGAATCTCTTAGTTAACCTAGAAATATTATACAGCCTATCCCCACTGGTTACACAGCAGTGTCTGGAAATATATTTTCAACAATAATACAGACATTACCAGTGGAAAAGTATTTCTCATACAAACAGCTCCTTCAACAATGAAAACTTCCAACTGGGAACCAGCTTTTTATGTTAGTTAAGAAAGCTACAAACTCGTCAGTGTGCATTAAGCAGTAGAATAGTATAGATATTAGGGTGTGTTTCATGCTCTTTGACATTTGTAATGGCATTTGCCATCTGGTACCACTCTACCCCAGCATCTGTAACTTCACTCATCTTTCTTCAGCTCTTTGACTGCCTCCTGCTTATTTTACAGCCTTGTCTCACATTCCCATTTCCAGGTGGGGATCAACTACCAGCCTCCTACAGTTGTTCCTGGTGGAGACCTGGCCCAAGTTCAGCGGGCGGTCTGCATGCTGAGCAACACCACAGCCATCGCTGAGGCTTGGGCAAGGCTTGACCACAAGTTTGACCTGATGTATGCCAAGAGAGCTTTTGTGCACTGGTATGTGGGTGAGGGCATGGAGGAGGGAGAGTTTGCAGAGGCCCGAGAGGACCTGGCTGCCCTGGAAAAGGACTATGAAGAAGTGGGAACTGACTCATTTGAAGAAGAGAATGATGGGGAGTGATTTTAAAATACATTTTGTTCCTGGTGAGCACAGAATTGTCTCTGCATCACTGTACTGCATGTGTCAACAATTAGGTCAGCTTTTCTGTACGTTAAATTTATGAACATAAATTTAGGGGAGGACATTTTTTATTACATAAATGACAGGCAAATTTTCCTGTATGACATCATCAGCTGTAGTAATGCCCCACAACTCCCAGTAATGTGAAAAGACTTGCTCTCCCTTGCACATTTAATGTGAGCCTCTCTAAGCTCTAGTTACATGATAAACTCACTACATTCCATGGAGATGATCCCAAAAAGCTGCAGAGCCCTGCTTCCTGCTCCTGCATAAGCAAACAGGGACACCACAGACACCTGCCAAAGCCGGGATTCTATGGGATACCCAGTCAGCTACAGCACTCTGCTGGATGTTTGGAAAGTCATGGCAATCAGGTGAAGTCCCAGGGGACTGGAAAAAGAGAAACATTGTCCCCAGTGTTAAAAAGGGCAGAAAGGAGGCTCCTGGTGGCTGCCAAACTCTTGGCCTCACCTCTGTGCCTGGGAAGATGGTGGAAGAAATCCTCCAAGAAGATATGCCAAGGCATAAGGAGGGTAAATTTAATTGGATATTCATGGAAAAATTAACTGGGCACTTATGCATGGAGTACCTAGATGCTCATGCATAAACTAATTGGGAATTTATTAACACCTTTGTGCAACAAATGAGATATTGTCCTGCTTTTTGATTAGGTTCTCCTACATGCATTTGTGATCCTCCTTGCTCATTTCAGAATCTGGATTATTTTTTTATGATGCTAATAGAGAATTCCTTTCAAGAAGGACCTATAAAAAGTGAGGCAATTCTTAGAAATACCCAAGTTGCCTTTCAAGATTGAACTTTCAAACCTGAAAACCTTTGTGGGACTGATTCTGCCAGATTTTCTCTCAAAAAGTAAGACAATATCTCTCCTTTGTTCACAGTTGTGTTCATAAATTCTCTGTTAATTAACACACGACTGTTAATTACCTCACATTTCCCACCCTTTCCCCCTTATATTTCTCATCCTTTTTCCACCTCATGTTTTCTGCCCCTTTTTCTTCTCTTTTTTCATCTCATCTTTCCTGCCATTTTTCTCTCTTTTTCTGCCCTTTCCCCCCTCTGTTTAAATACCAAATGTTGAAAAAAGGGAGATTTTCCTTCAATTAAACCCTAAATAATGGAAAAGGCAAGTTTTCCTTTAATTGATACCCTTAAAATCACATGTGAAGGTGGATCCCCTTCAATTTAAACACATAGAATAATGAAAAAGTAGGTTTTGCCCTCAATTTAAACCCCTTTTCCATCGAACTCCTCTTTTTTCTGATGTCATTGGGGCACACTGGGGAGGGACTGGGCAGGAGACTAGAGGCATTGTGAGGGGATTGGGAAGATGAAATAAAAAAGAGAAAGGAAAAGGATTTTCCCTGTGCTGCCCCACCTGCTCAGGTGTGCTGCTCCCCTCTCCTGTCCTGGGGCACAGGGATTGTCCCTTTGCACACCCTGAGCAATGCCCCAGGAGCACCCAGGTGTTCCCCCTGCCCTGCAGATGTGTCACGGCTGTCCCTGGAGAGATTCCAGAGATCACCCACTCCAGCAGGTACAGTAACTCCCTGAGAGCTGCCCTTGGCAGGGCCAGCCCCTCCTCATCCTCACTGAGCACACCTGGGGCTGCTTCATCCCCTCCTCATCCTCACTGAGCACACCTGGGGCTGCTTCATCCCCTCCTCATCCTCACTGAGCACACCTGGGGCAGCCCTGACCCTTCTCATGCTCACTGAGCACCCCGGAGCTTCCCTGGACACTGATTTACGCAGGGATTTCACTAAATCCCACTCTGAGTCTCACTCAACAAGCCAAGCAAACCTTGCTGCTGTTCACATTGTTATTAGTAAAAATGATCAAGCCGAATAAATAATAAAATGTTACATGTAATATGGATAATTGGTGTCTATAAATAGATATATATAGATATCATATGTTATATTGCCGAGAGATATTTGTATAAAATTTTAAGCATGTGAGTCAGAGCCAGGGGATTGCCTCACATATGTTGAAACCACCTGACAAGAGGGAGGAGGACTTCATTTACAAATGAATAAACGTAGCTGGCCTGGAGATGTGTCATTCCCCAAGGTGACCCGAGGAAGTCCCAAGCTCGACTGGATAAATATCTAAGATTGAGACAGCTGGAGCCACCAGAAAGATACATCTCAATGCCAAGTTCCAGTAACTCAATCAGGGACATACATCACGCTCTCGGACACGGTTTTCTCCAACTCAATGTAGAGAAAAGAAACTCCATTAATATGTGAAAAACATCAATCACTTGGTTTTTAAAATTTTTAAAGTTTAATAATAATATATAAAAATAGTAATACAATTAGAGTAGTAAAATTTAGAGTTAGGACAATTACAAGACAATAAAAAGCAAAGAATTCTGGGTGTCCGGATGCTCTTGGACACTAAGTAACGACAAGCATGCCTTGTGTACAAAGGAATAACCTTAAGAGCAATAGCTTGTTGCATATTTATACATCTCATACATGATGCATAAATTCCTTGCAAATTAAGAGCTTTTTTGGTTTTTGTCAACTTCTTCCCCTTAATCCTGGTGGTTCCAAAAAGCTGGAGAGAAGGTGGAAGAATGTTTGTCTTTTCTGATAAGGAGGCAGTAACTCTTTATGGGCCCCAAATCACTGCCATCTCTGTATGAAGAGTTTCTTGATTATTTCATCTCTTGCTTGAGCCAGTAAAAAAAAAATCTTACATCGTAGAGTTTCTATTTCAACATTATGTTGCAACCTAAAACTGTATTTAACACACTACTTAAGAGAATTAATACAGCATAACTTTCTAACATTACACATATAATATTCATTGTAACATTTGCGAAAAGCCAATCATAAAGTATGCATTTTTCACAGGTATGTAGGAGTCTGAAAGGAAGAAAAGCTTGATCACAAGAACACTGCTTCAGGCAGAATAAGCTCTTTGAAAACCGCTTGAACAGGACGGTCAGGGTGAATGTAGGGGCCCCTCTGCTGTAGTGGTCAGACCTGTGTCTCACCCAGCACTGATCCTGGGCTTGGCACTGTCCTTTGTGGCTGTCTGAGACCGAATTTTGATTGCTGAATAAAAACTTATTTTTATTAATTATTAATTTGGCTAGATCACTTTTACCTGTAACAGCGACCGAGATTCAGTCTAAGTGGGATAAGTCCTTGTCATGCCTCCCTTACACAATGATTCAGCTGCGAAAACTCTTCGAAGTACTGGGACATTCATGCCTGGGATGAGGCAATTCATGTTGGCTGATTTGCCGTAATACTGGATGTGGATTTCTTAACTTGCCTAAGGAGTTTTAGATCTCATCCTGACCACCAAGATTACAATTTATTTTATTTGCAAGGACACTCAGTGATCAGGAGCCCTGCTCTTGAAGCAGTCAATGCACGTTTTGGAGTTCTTTGGACATTAGGCAATTATCAGGAGCTAGCAGCTTTTGTCCCAGGGGCATTGTGTTTGGACACTCAAACACTGCACCTTTCAGTTTGAGCCATCCCTTCATCTGAGCCCATTTCTGGGCTCAGGCTTCTCCTGCTACCTGCTTTGGAAGTGGCGTGTCATGGCTGAGTTCTGCAGGCAAAGCTTAAAACTTTCTTAAGACATAATTCTCCTCCTAACTAAGCACCCAAGCCCTCATAGGGGTCATTATCAAATGTTGTTTCAACTGCACACTGCTTTACTGACTTCCACCTGGCAGATCTAGTTCCTGTTTAACCTCCAGTGTCCTTTTGCACTTTGCTCAGGTGGTTTCATTCTCTGTAGACAATTTACGGCTTAGCGGTTCTTTTCTCTCCCTTCCTTTCCTTCTCTCGGGCAGTCTCCACACAAGCCAGTAATAGAAAGGGAACATCACTAAATTTAAACTATTGCTGAGAGTCACTACCACAAAGCCACTGAGTCATTTGTGCTCAGAAGTCCCTACAGATACCCCCTCATGACAATTCAGGACAGTTTTCAGTGTCCCTACGCCTCGACTGAAGACCTCAGACTGCTAAGAACTGAAGAGTTGTGCTGCCTCCGGCAGAGGCAGGCAGTGTGAGCAGGTTCCCCATCACCTGCCCAGAGGGTTTGCAGCTGGGACTTCACAAGGACAGCAGTGGTGGGCTCCAGAGAGCTCCTCTGAAAGCCTCCGTGCGCTGTCTCCTCCCCACGGCTCAGCGAAGCCGGCTGGGGGCTGCACACAAGTTCCTGACACAGGGCTGGGAGCGCCTGCTGTCCTCAGCTGTGTGTGGACAAAAACGGCACCACACTCCTGGTACTAAAAGTGATTTCAGCATTTATTATATAAAAAAGAAAGACCTAAAGCATGGGGGCCCATGGGCCAAGCAGAAGTATTCCCATCGAGGATGCTGCAGCGCCAGGACTGGGTCCTCTTTCTTGAGCAGTGATTTCCGCGATGTTCCAAGCGGAGCCACACGGGTTCAGTGGGTAGATACCCTCTTTTTATGCTGTTTTTGTGTTCCTTTGGTTTGGTTTTTGTTTGGATCCTTCATTTGCATGAGGGTTTAAGGCGCTTGATTGGCCCATTACAGTTCTGTCCAGGCTGGCTCGTTTCGCCTGGGGGCGGGGGGGGGCGGGTTGGTGCACTTTACTCAGGTGCAAATACTCTTATCTACCCTTTTACAATAACCAAACTAACAGCACGCGCTAAACAATCATCAGCTATTTTGCAACAGTTTCTAACCTACTTTTGACACACAGTTTAGCCTCCCAATGCTTCCCCCGGCAGGCACACGCGAAGCGATGTGCATTAAGGCACAAAGAAGCGGCAGC